GGGGTTTGTCCTGAAGGGACTTGATTGCTTGTCTTGATGGCTTCCTGGCGAACACCTTGCTTATTCTTGTAGTAGCCAATCAGACTGCCATTTTTGTTTGGGGTTTTTCCTGATTATCGTTGTAGTAGCTTTTAAAGGTAAAATTCTCATATTCACTTTTGACTACCCTTAAGTGTCTTTGCTAGAGTGGTCTTTTTAAAATGCAAATTTCATCATATCTCTTCTTACTCAGTCACACATTTACGTATTTTCCATGGCTTCCCATTCCTCTAGGGACAAGGACCCAAATCTCTAAGGTCCTGCATAGTCTGGCTTCTGTTTACCTCCTAGCCACTACATCTTATCTACTCTCTCATGTTCTGTGTTACAGTCATACTGTCTTCCTACCAGTTTCTTGACTGACTGTTCCCCCCTGGCACAGGATCTTTGCATATGCTCTGTCCTCTGCCTTGGAATGTGTTCCCTCTTCTCATCTTTTCACCCTCAGATCACAATTCAAAGTTAACTTTTTCAGGAAAGCGTTCACTCCCTACTCCTTCACCATAACAGGTGAATTCTTATAGCTACACTGTCTTTCCTTTGTAGCACTTACCATAGTTTGCAAGTTTGCATTTATCTTAGTGATTATTTAATTAATATCTTCAGTTTCTACTGAAGTCTAAGCTCCAAACAGAGGTTGTATTTTTTTTTTTTGTATTTAATCCAAAATTTAGAGGCTGGCACAAAGCAGATACTTAAAAAATATGTGTTTGAAGAATGAGTGAATGAACGAGAGTATGCTATGAGAGCCCTTGGATAGAGAGGTTCATGGGGCAAGTGAGTAGTCACACTACATAGAGGTCCAATAAGACAAGGGTAGAAAAGTGTCTGAGTTTTTAGTCATTGGATTCTGCAGTTTTAAGACATATGATGTCCTTAAGCAGGAGTGGTGAGGTCAAGATTATAGTGGATTTAGAAATGAAGGGAGGAAGTGGAGACTTCAATTATACACTGTTCTTTCACAAAAGCTTGGTTTGGAAAGAAAGGTGGTGACTGGAATACAGCTATAAAGTCAAAGAAAAATTATTATTGTTTTTGAGGCTAGTGAGACACTTTAGCTCACATCAGACACATCATCAGTAAAGGCCAATTGCTAGAAAAGAACATCACAGTTGATAAAATGGAAGGTCGGCAAAGGTGAGCAAGACGCTCAGTGAGATAGATTGACATAGTGACTGAACCAGTGGACTCGAACCGGCACGGCAGCAACTAACAATAACAGACTAATGTTTTAGGGTAAAGGAATGAGATAGTGGGAGAGTGCACATTACTCAGTCAATTTCACCTTCCAATTTTTTTAGTCTGTATCTTGAGTGATGAGTAAAGAGTGCTTCAGGTTGGTCGGACAGGAGTCAGGGTTTAGGAGAGAGTAGGGGCTACGAGACAAAGGACTAGCATTTGCAAAAGCATATTGTTGTTAAGTGCCATCGAGTTGGTTCCAATGCATATCGACTCTGTACTGAGGGGCGGCTGGTGGGTTTGAACCGCCCACCATGTGGTTAACAGTCCAGTGCTTGCCCGACAGCGCCACACCAGGACTCCTGTAAAGGCATAGAAACATGAAATGACAACATCAGAGAGGATAAATACTATGGAAGAAACAGAAATAATCCTCATCATTGGGATAGGTCAGATGCTTTTGGAGTTGTGAGCACAGCCTTGGGTCTCCGCCTTTTAAGAGGAATGTGAACAGTCTAGATTGTCTAGAGAGAAAGATGATTCAAAGTAGGCAGTGGAACTGATGACTCATAACTGTGTCTCCAGTAGGAAAGATTGAGAGAGTGTGGGCAGGACTGAAAAGGTGACAATAATGATGATGAAACTAACACTCATTGAGCATTTATACTAGGCTAGGAAGGTGTCTCAGGAGCTCTGGAAATGTAGTGGTTACGAATCCGGCTGTTAACCTCAGGGTCAGCAGTTCGAAACTACCAGCTGTTCCGCAGGAGAAAGATGAGGCTTTCTGCTCCCGTAAAGATTTACAGCCTCGGAAACCCTGTACAGGGTCGCTATGAGTCGGAACCAACTCCACGGCACATAACAACAACAACAGGGAGGTATTTCAGTGTCATACATGTTTTAACTGTTTAATCCTCACAGTAACCTTTGGAGGTCAGTACTATTATTATTGTCCCCTTGAAAGTGAGAAAACCGAAGCATACAGAAATAAAGCAACTTCTAAGGCCATAGAACCAGTTAGTGGTAGGGCTGGGATATGAACCTAGACCACTCTCAGTTATGATTCTGGACTCTCAATCACTACACCGTACTGTCTGTACCAACAGGACTGCTGAATTTCAGGACTTTGTGTGGGGTTGCTCTCTTCTAAAATTGTGCTTTGTTGGTTTTTGGCCTACAAGAAGAATCATGGCAGCTTTAGGTATCACTTGTACTATTCTTGGGGTAAGGCCTTTAGACCATAAAAGCAGCTATATTCCCGGAATTACGGGGTGGGAGCATGGGGAAGGGGCGGAGGTGTATTTTAGCCTAATGAAAGCAGAAAGACTTTTTTGTTCTTAATTTAATCACAAGCTTGTATTTGGAAAAATGTTAGTGTGGCCAGGATATTACTCAAATAGTTATTGTATGATTTTAAAGATTGCAAAGTAATAAAAAATGCTGTTCTTAATTAGTATCGATACCTGCTCCCTGTCCCTTGTAGGCTTGCCTGAGAAGATATTTGTGGCTATGGCATTTGATGAGATCCTTAAAAAATGAAAATAGTGCTTATATGTTGTTCACTCACATCTGTGTATTCTACCCAAATGAATACATTCTAAATGTTTGGGCTTGCTTTGATTAGGTGTTTACATAGTGCTTTCCTTGGAGATTAAAACAGATGCCCATGTCCGGGGTTATGTGGGAGAAAAGATCAAGCTGAAATGCATCTTCACATCGACTTCAGATGTCACTGACAAACTCACCATAGACTGGACATACCGGTCTACCAGCAGCAGTCGCATGGAATCAGTAAGTGTATACTTTTAAGACAGTTTCTTTCAGTCTTCTGTGGTCAGCAACTTTGGAATCCTCTTATTCCAAGTCACAGATACCCCTTAAACCTTTTCATTCTAGAATGAATATAAGATGAACTTCTATTGAAATGAAAGGAGATGAACTTAGACCCTACATGACATTTATTTAGCCATATGTTGTTCTTGTTGTTGTTATGTGCCGTGGAGTCGGTTCCGACCCATAGCGACCCTGTACAGGGTTTCTGAGGCTGTAAATCTTTACAGGAGCAGAAAGCCTCATCTTTCTCCCGCGGAACAGCTGGTAGTTTTGAACTGCTGACCTTGCAGCTTGCAGCCCAATTCATAACCACTACGCTACCAGAGCTCCTTATTTAGCCATATAGGGCTTTTTATTCTTCCATGTTAGAATCTGACAAAAAGTTACAGGAAGGAAAGCAAAAAATAAACCAAAAAAACAACAACAACACACACAAACTGTCAGAAACTCAGAGGAAATGTGGTTTAGCTTAGTTTCCCCTTTGTTGTTTCTTTTTGTATGGTTTCATAGCTTCATTTTCAGATTCAATGTACCAATATGCAGAATTTTTATAGAGAAAATTCTGAATGTCCCAGTCACAGACATCTTTTCTCTTATAGCTGCTCTCTTCCTGCCGTGTGTAGATATTTATGTGGGTGTATCTGTTTGTAATATCTATTCTGTAGATTTATCTTGGCTCCTTCTCTCAGAATATAAACATCTGCATTGATTTATAGTGTTCCCTTTGAAGGAAATGGTGGCACCTTTTGTACAACTGTTGGTGACAGATGGTCTTGTTCTGTTAGAAGCACAAAGCACTTTAATCATACATAAAAACATACCGATGGTTGAAATTCCATTGTGGACGATCTAATTGAAGGTTGCAATACTATAAAAATAGCCTTTCTCCTTGTGCTTTCAGCAGTATCAGCTCAGGATAGATGCTATCAAGAATGTGACTGTCATAGCTGTGTGTCCATGGTTTGAAGGTATCCTGAATCTATCCTGTTATCTTCACTGGGAAAAGCTTTCTCTTTGCTTTTAATGTACAAGGTTTGAATTTTGTTTTAGGAGTCATTGTTTGAATGCCACGTTGCTCTGGAATTAGGTAGGTGGCTCCAGTGAAGGAAGACAGATTATATTCTGATCCCTTTTTCTTTCAAATTTAAGTAGTTCACTGAAGTTTTCTTTATTTTGAGTGGTCAGGAAACTGTGACTGACCTTATTTGGCTCTGCCTCCTTGATCAAAAGTAGGACAGAGCAAGCAGTGGGGGAGCTCTTGCTTCAGAAGCCTTAAATGCAAACAACAGTTCTCTTACAATGTCCTTCAATGTGAGGTTGGCCTAAAAATCATTGTACTCACCTAACTTCAGGGGAAGCGATGAGAATCAAGATCAGCATTAAACAGCCCGAAGTTGATTCCTATGAGGCTGCGAGCAAACATACTTACATGCTCTAGCTCCCTCCCCATCTCTGACATTAGCAGTTCCCTCTGTGTACTTTTTTGCTGGGTTCTGTGACAGAGAACTCACAGACTACACTCATGATTATGTGGTTTATTAAGGAAGCAACAGACTACAACTTGGGGTCAGGAGCAACTTGAAAGAAACAAGAATAACTTAGGTAACAAGAGACAGTCACTCAGGACACCTTCCAACCAAGAAAGCTCTCAACTCCTTTTTGACTATGCTAGTCAGCAAGCTGTGCTCTGGTCTCTGCCACCAGGTCCTGCTCCACCTGGCCTCATCCCTGCTCAAGAGACTTCAGCTTCCCAACCAACATCTGCCAAATGCCTTCGGCCTGAAGGTGCCCAGCTCTGACTCCATGGACTGCTGAGCCCTCTGCATCTGTGTCATGCTGGTTTCCTGGTTCCCATAGTCCCATGCCACTGCCATTTGGGCCACTGCTATGCCACTTCACAGCATCTGTCACTGTATTGCTTGATCTCCAGTGTTAAAGCTCTCTTGTCTTTTGGGTCTAGGATGTTCTTAGTGTAGTGCCCCATGGACATGCTCTGCTCCAGGCTTTTCTTCAGGATGGTAGTGATGTCCCCCTCAACCTCTGTAGGATTAGCTCTTCTAAGATTAGCAGGATGGCAAAACAGACCAACACCTTAAGTAGGCCAAGTCCCTAGTTGGCATAATTGACTGATTCCTACAAGGGTTTTATGTATCTTATTTTATAGTAAACTGTCTTATCCCTTTGCAAGACTGTGGTCTAACAAATCATCTTGGCAGAACTATACACCTAGGGCTAGAAAGGCCCTGTATATAGAGAAACCTCACCCATATTAGCATGAATTTATCTTCCCTGTCCTATGTGGCTACTCAGGATTCTGTCAGATATGTCAGTACGCTAAGGTTTGAACCTCGGTAATGAAACTTGGAACTTACAAGTTAGAGGAATCTTGAAGATACACAGCAAGGCTTGTTTTGTCTATAATAGGTTTCAAATCCTTTTATATTGATGTTGATAATCAGTATGGGTATTCCTTCTTTGTATGGAGCAACCCATGTTGTGTTTCTTAATATTAGTATTTCCCAGTAGACTGTAAATTTCATGCCTGTTTGGCTCCTACTATATCCCTTTGCTTAACATTTGCTGTTGTGGTTGTCAAGGGCCATCAAGTCAGTTCGGACTCATAGTGACCCTGTCTAGGAGCAGCTGGTGGGTTTAAACCACTGACTTTTCAGTTCAAATCCACCTTCTGGCCCAGTGAGTTAGCCTGCAGTGCCATACCAGGACTTAACATTGTTGTTGTTGTTGTTAAGTGCCGTCGAGTCGGTTCCGACCCATAGCGACCCTGTACAGGGTTTCCGAGGTTGTAAATCTTTACGAGAGTAGAAAGCCTGATCTTTCTCCCGCGGAGCAGCTGGTAGTTTCGAACCACTGACCTTAAGGTTCGCAGCCCGATTTGTAACCTCTACGCTACCAAGCTCCTTAACATTAGTTGCTGCCATTTCATGAGTCACTTTCAACTTCTGGCAAACCCAGGTGTCAGAGTAGAACTGTACTCCATGGAGTTTTCAGTGACATGATTTTTTAGAAATAGATTGCCAGATCTTTCTTCCAAGACACCTCTGGGTGGCCATGAACCTCCAATCTGTTGGTTAGCAGTCAAACATGTTAACTGTACCACCCAGGGACTCCTTTCTTAACACAGTACCTACCATATACAAGGGTGTGCAGTACATATTTGTTGAATGAATGTATGAAGAAACAAATCAATGAAATGATTCAGCAACTTCTCTAGAAAATTGCTTTTCAAAATTGGGCAATTTTTGTTGCTGTCAACTCTTGAATTCCTAAGTGGGAAGTTGCTAAGTAAACAAAGAAAGAGGAAAGCCATTGATCTTGCATAAGAGAGAGAAGTCATGCTTTGTCAGTAGTACCTACATGACCTAGGAGTCCTGGTAGCATAGTGGATTACAGGCTGGGCTGCTAACCACAAGGTCAGAACATCAAATCTACCAGTTATTCTGTGGGAGAAAGGTGAGGCTTTCTGCTCCCATATATATTTACAGTCTCAGAAACCCTATACAGGGCCACTATAAGTTGGAACTGACTTGACAGCATACAGCCAGCACCACTACCACCTGTATAGTCTAACACCAGATGTAATTAGATATTTTGGCGGTGAAGTGTCTGATCACCAATTCTGAAGCAGGATCATTTGGATTCAATATGAATTTATTGAGTACTTGTGCATTAAAAGGAGCTGTGGTGTAGTGGGTTACACACTGGGCACTAACTGCAAGTTTAGCAGCTTGATTCCACCAGTCACTCTGAGGAAAGAGAAGACTTTCTGCTCCTGTGAAGATTTACAGCCTTGGAAAGCACACCTAGGGTCCCTGTGAGCCAGAATTGATTCAATGGCGGTGTTTGCTTTTTTTTAAATTCATTAATAGAAGTCCTGGTGTGGTGCTGTAGGATAAGCATTGGACTGCTAACTCAACGGTCATCAATTTAAACCCACCAGTCCTACGTTGTTGTTGTTAGGTGCCATCAAGTCAGTACTGACTCATAGTGACCCTATGCACAACAACAAAAAAAACATTACCCTGTCCTGGGCCAACCTCACAATTGTTGCCACGCTTAAGCCCATTGATGCTGCCACTTGTCCAATCCATCTCGCTGAGGGTCTTCCTCTTTTTCTCTGACCCTCCACCTTACCAAACATAATATCCTTCTCCAGCAAATGGTCCCTCCTGACAATATGTCCAAAGTATGAGAGATGAAGTTTGACCATCCTGGCCTACAAGGAACACTCTGGCTGAACTTCCTCCAGCACAGATCTGTTTGTTCTTTTGGCAGCCCATGGCACTTCAATATTCTCCTCCATCATCATAACTCAAAGGCATCAATTCTTCTATTGTTTTCCTTATTCACTGTCCAGCTTTCACATGCATATGAGGTTCTTGAAAATACCATGGCTTGGGTCAGGCTCATCTTAGTCCTCAAGCTGACATCTTTGCTCTTCAACACTTTAAAAAAGTCCAGTCCTATACAGGGTTGTTAATTGCCAGAACCAACTTGACAGCACTCAACAACAACAACATGCATTAAGGGTCCTGGTGGCACAGTGGGTTAAGCATTGAGCTGCTAGCTGAAAGGTCAACAGTTCAAACCCACCAGCTTCTCTGTTGGAGAAAGATAAAGTTGTTGACTCCTGTAAAGATGTATATATCGTCTGTAAAAACCTAAAGGAGTTGTTTTACTCTATCCTACAGGTTTTCTATGAGTTAGAATCAACTTGAGGGCAGTGGGTTTGTTTTGGCTAACCGTGCATTTGACTTGTGGTTTATATTAATTGCTAACACTAATAGCTTGAGAGCGATTGGATTATATTATACCCTTCTGGTGATTTTGAAAATAAATTAATTGCTAACACTGATAGCTTGAGAGAGGCTGGATTATATTATACCCTTCTGGTAATTTTGAAAATAATTGAAAGTCTCCATGTTGTTGCTTATTAGCTATGTGTCTTTGAGTAACTCGAAGTTTAGTTTTGTTTTTCCTAGCGCTTCTTTCCCTTTCCATAAGTTTGGAATCATTATACCTGCCCCATGTATTTCAAAGAAATAGGTGTGTGTGGGAGTCATTTGCAAACTGTAAAGCGTTATACAAGTATTAAATGTTACTTTTGGATAGAGTTTTAAACTTTGGCACTGTTGACACTGTGGACCTGAGAATTCTTTGTTTGGGGTGGGAGTGGGGGCTTTCTCTTGCGTTGTATGAAGTTTGGCATTATCCCAGGCCTTGTGTTACTAGATGCCAGTAGCAAACCTTTTTCCCTCCAGTTGTGATCATCAAAAATGTTTTCAGACATCGACAAATGTCTTCTCAGGGCAAAATTTCCCTCAGCTGAGAACCACTGTTTTTACACCGAATGTAGATATCATTAGCATCATTAATAGCACACACGAATAAAATTTTACTGAAGATCGTTTAAAAGTGGTTGCAGCAGTACATTAATCAGAAACTGCCAGAAATCAAGCCATATTCAGAAGAGGCTATGGCATGAGGAATATCATTGCTGATGTCAAATGGTACTTGGCTGAAAGCAGAGAATACCAGAAAGATATTTACCTGTGTTTTGGTTATTTAAAGGCATTTGACTGTGTGGATCATAGCAAATTATGGATAACATTGAGAAGAATGAGAATTCCAGAATACCTAACTGTGCTCATGCAGAACCTGTACATAGAACAAGAGGTAGTCATTTGAACAGAACAAGGAAATATGTTCACTTGCATCCATCAGTCAGCATGCAGACTAACTATAGTGATAAAAATTTATCCAACACTGAATTGTATTTTATATTTTATTTGGGATCTAGTTGGCTTTACATGTTCATTAATTTTCTAAATTAATTTTTTTCTCCTCATTGTGTTGTTTTCTTAGATTTTTCATTACCAGTCTTTTACATACCCAACCACATCAGGCAGATTTCGGGATCGAATTTCCTGGGTTGGAGATGTATACAAAGGGGATGCATCAATTAGCATAAGCAACCCTACCATGAAGGACAATGGGACATTCAGCTGTGCTGTGAAGAATCCCCCAGATGTACATCATAACATTCCCACGACAGAGCTAACAGTCACAGAAAGGAGTAAGTTAACTGCCGCAAGCTTTCTTCTGCTGTGTTCTGTGACTACTATGGAGAGATCATTATAAGTTATAAGCAAAACTATCTGTGGAAGCCTGTTGATTCACTGGAGCATTGTGTCTAAGTAATTTTTCATACCATCATTATGTGACTTTAGTATGCATTTTTTAATCTTTATTTTACAAACTGAGGTTTCTCTTCAAATGTTGTCATGTTTCCCCACTTCCCTTTTTTAGTTTTCACTTTGAGTAGCAATAGGTCTTGTGGAATATCTGGCAAACTCTTGATAAGATGGAGGAATGCTATCTGTGTAAATTCGAAGTCATTCTAAATTCTCTAATATGTTCATACCCCTAAGTTATGAGACTGTGTTCTTGCCTGTGTCTTGAAAAGATGCCATCGCTAATGATGGGAGGCAGCACAGTTCTTTTATGCTAAAAAAGGGCTGTAATTAAACAACAACAACAACAACAGAGGGATTAGAAACAAATACTGTTGAATGATGATGCACAGAGGAGATTGTAATCATCGCAATGAAAAGATGAGTGTAAAACCAATGTTCTGCCATGTAAACTATTACTCAATTCACAATAAAAACTTATTAAAAAAAAAAAAAAAAAGCCCTGCAATTTCCTTTTAGTGTGAAACAGGAAGAGATAGTTAAGGATTTTTTCCCCCTATATTATACTCAGCTGACTATTAACTGGTCATTCTAGTTCTTAGTTGGATTTGAACAAAGACTTAGAGCTATAGGACTACATAATGGTTCATATTAACTGTATGCCTCACCATTTCTCAGATTTTTTTCTTTCTTTTTCCTTCTCTTTTTTCTTCCTTCTCTCTCTCCCTCTTTTTTTCCTTGATGATAATAATTCATAGGTTTCAAAGAGCTGAGCACATTCATATACTACAGGTGGAAGTAGAAACTGAGATAGCATCTCTGGAAGTTTGGCAGTAGTAATCAGATGCCTGAAAAACACACACCCTTTGAGCTAGTAATGTCATTTAAGCATTATACATTATGGTAGTAAAGATAAGAATAAGGAGTTATGTATAAGGACGATCGTAATGATCAAGTTACTGGAAGTAACTTAAATAGCTAGTATTAGAGGACTGTTCAAATAAATGATCCAATATGGTAGACTACTATGAATCATTAAAAGTCACATCAGGAAGAAATTTTGAGTGACATAGAAAATATTGATCATATATTAACTAAAAAAAGCAGGTTAAAAATAATATGCACTGCAGGATCCATGCTTCCTAAGATAAACACCTCATCTCTACATACACACTCACATCCCCACACTCCTTGAGAGAAGATTGAAAGAGCAGACATCAAAGTGCTGTCCCCAAGTGGTACAATTATGGGTAATTTTTAAATCTTTGTGTTTTTGGATATTTTCAATCTTTTCAACAGTATGTTTATTTCTTTTGTTAAGCAGAAGGGGTACAAGAGCCAAAATAAAGTCTCTCTTATGTCCTTTGACACAGGAAGCACTTTCCCACTTCCCTCTGTTTTCCCTTCTCTAGGTTTTGGCACCATGCTGTCCTCAGTGGCCCTGCTTTCCATCCTGGTCTTCATTCCCTCAGCTGTGGTAGTTGTGCTACTGCTGGTGAGAATGGGGAGAAAGTCTGCAGGGCTGAAGAAGAGAAACAAATGTGGCTACAAAAAGTCATCTATTGAGGTTTCTGATGAGTAAGTCCTTTGAGAGCCTGGGTCCCAAACTCATATCCTCCTCAGTCCTTGCTTTGTGGGTAGTATCCATGGCCCTACATCCAGGCCTCCCTTTCTTTCAGGACATGTTTAGTTTCGTTGGTGACATTTCTTTTGAAGAGAATACTTGTGCTGAGGAGTTCCAGAGTGACTATTGAATGTGAAACTGGTGGATATTACTTTTGGGGGGAGGTGGAAGACTTGCCATTAGGATCTTAGTCTCCTATTTTGGAAGTCAGGTTTTAAAATGCCATTGTTCTCAGTATAAATTCAGAGGTGGTTCATACCCAGCAGCTGCTCCTCAGAACCCCTACTCAGGATCACAGTGAGTTGGAACCTACTTGATGGCACTTAACAACAACAAA